GTGCCGTGCCCCCGCCCGGCTCGTTACAGCACACAGCCGCTCCGTTGAGCTTGCTTACAGGCCCAGCGTGGCCACCCGTGGAGGAAACCTTCTGGCCTAGGTGCTAGGGCGACGCCAGGGCAGCAGGGTGTTTGTGCGGGCGCCGTGGGGCGCGCTCTGAAAAGGAGGGGAAGTCCCCAAAGTCAGAAGCGCTGCTGCGGTTCCCCGGCTGTACGCAGCAGGTGTGTGGCAGCCTGGAGGTGTGATGGAGCCCCAAGCTCTGGAGCTGCAGGTGGTCCCACCTCGCTCAAGGAAGGAGTGCAGAGTAAGTGGTCAGATTAGAAGTCAACCAGGTGCTTGGTGCCATCTAGGAGACCTGCCAAGTTCAAGGGTAAACTGCGTCTCCCATGAAGTGTTTTACAGAGGAATTACTGGTCTGACACTAGAATGCCCTAAGTGCCACCTCTGTCCCGCAGACCGTTTTCCTCATTAAGGAAATACCGTCCTTCAGTGGGGACTGCCGAGGATGCCTAGCCTTGGGGAAGCAGCGCAACCATCACGTTCAACCAAGCCTTTCTTTAGAGGAAACACAGCCGTGCCCATAGCTAGCCCTTCAAATTTCTGAGAGTTATGCACCAAATTGTAGTATTTGTAGCATAGCTGTCAACTACACTTCTAACCTGTTCTTTCTCCCTAGGTTGCTCTAGTTTCCACTCATCTTCATTTTCTACACCTGATTGTAGATGGGCTGCCCTACTTGCTTTGTATGCTTTTCCTGGGGCATTCATGTTCAGGTTATTGCTGAACATCTTCCAGTGACTACGATCTTGCACTTCTACATGTGATTGCTGATGGCATTCAAATTTGAGTTAAAGGAGTTGCCAGTACTGTCACGTACACCCTGCTACTAGAAATTGGATGAAAGTAACATTTAAATAGTTAACTTTCTGTGTCTCCCAAAAAGTCAGACAGGTAGAAATATTTTAAAGCAAACTCTGACTTTAAAGAAACATGCCTCCAGTGTTGCAAGGTTGAATTCAAGCAACAGGATATAAGGGAATGCAGAGGTAACAATCCTATTTGGAGCAACCAGGACAAAAATAGATAAGTCTTAAGATAAAAGGTGCTTGGAAAATAAGGACATGGTATCAAGTTCTACAGAGAATGCCAGCAAAATAGCTGGAACCACATATTAGTATATATAATTCTACTATTTTATCAAAATGTGTGGGTCTAGCTTTTCTCAATAGAAATAGGTTTAAAAAATAAATATAGAATGGTCTAGACAGGCAAGAATGACAAGTTGATTGAAACAGGGGCAGGAAACAAGAGAATCCGTTTCTAATCCTGATTCAGCTGCATTCACTATGTGACTAGCCACTCCAAATACCCCCAGCTCACCCCTCCCTTGTTTTAAAACAAGGATAACAGTGACTTAATTAACAAATCCATATAATTCTCCTTACAGTTAGTGTGGGTACAGCTTGGAAAATATAAAGCACCTTGTAAAAGCTAAGTATTAACATGATTACTGTACCAGATCAGTTATCCACTGTGGCATACTAAATCACAGAACTGTTAAAACAGCAGCTGCCTTTTTCCCTCTTCATTTATTTTAGGAAAAAAATAATCCACCGTCATGGATAGCAGCTGATGTTTAAGACCAGAAATACATAAGAAAACTTCATTATACATTCCTTTCCTTAGAATTGTCATTTATGCCTTTAGAACAGACTTAGGTGCTTAGTTACAAATCAACTGATTCATTATTTAGAGGCTGCTGTTATTGTCAGAGCTTGTTCCCTTTTCCTTACTGAATTGGCAGTAGCTAGGATAGTGTTTTACAGTTCACTTCTACTAAATTGTGAATAGATAAACACATGCATCAGTTGCTACTAAGTTATTTGTAATTTAGATTTGCCAAGTGGAGTGACCATCTTGTCAGAATTCTACAAAATAATTCACTGATGTGACAAACTAAACATTTAATACTTAAATAAAACCAATATTTACAGTTTGCCTATACAGCAGAGTTCTTTTTTTCAGTTTATAGGAAGCTAGATTTTACTTTAGGTCCTTTTAGAAGAACATACAATGACATGGTCATTAAGTCTGTCAGTGGTAGTATATTTTGGCTTTATGGAGTCAAATGCTTTTGTCCCATTCTCAGCTAGGAAAAAACTCTCAGTTCTGCTGTTTCATGTCAGGTTAGATTTTATTTCATCACTGTGGCTTGCCTGTGTAACTACATATTGGCTCATAGAAACTTTTCTCCAGCATATGACCTCAGTAGTGCTTATGTTTTCCTATGGAGGTTCTAGAAGCCCGTTTCTTACTCTAATTCATAAATGTTTCCTAAGCATGTAGTTTGTATGCTTTTATTTATTGACATTTTAGGTAGCTAAATGTAATTAAATCTATGCACTTCTCACTTCTGACCTTGTATAAAATGTAAGTGCATATCTTTTAAGCCTTATCTATGCTAGCAGACAAACGTTTCTTTCGTTTCAAAAATGTTTCAAAAGTAGTGGAGTGATTACAGAAAGTAGATGGGTTTATTCTGAAGAGGAGGCTTGTTTGCCTTTATGTACATAAAGGCAAATTATATTTTAAAAAGTCTGTCTTAGACTTTACCTGGTAATTGCTCAGTGAATTTTGACAGTGTACTGACAAGTATTTTGCTGACTATAGTGCTGTAGGAAGCGAGCAAATGACTAGCAGCAGCCTATTGCGAAGCAGCTGATTACTAGCTGCTTAAGTCATTTTGGCACAACAAATCCAGGGTTTGATATAATGAAAACTTGCTATGGCATTAGGTTTGCCCTGCAGTATTTAAGAGCACTTAGTTTTGCACAGTTTGAAGCCATGTTTCTCTATTTGTTACCGCAACCTCGTAGAAGCCCAGACTTAAACCCGTCAACATTTTTAAATTGGCATATCATTAAACTGTTCTATTTTTTGAGATGAGGCACTTTCTCCTTCAAATAAATAGAATTCATAAGTCTATATGTTTTAGTTTATTACTGTGAATCCCAAGAGCACTAATCCCTGCCTTGTAAAGAACTCAAGTAGCTCAATGATTACAGCAACAGATGGAGAGCAAGTAGCACACTGTTTTTAATCCTCACTAAACTGTTAGCGACTGACCTCATCCAAATCACATGATCCCACTATTTCAGTCATCCTTGCTTAACAAAGAGGTGTTTTGAGTTTTTCTTATTAATCTAATGCTACTTATCCCCTTTGTAAACCAGTATGAATTTCTTTTGCCAGCTAGGGATTTGGAAGCCAGCATAGTTTTGCTGTTTGTCATATGACTTACTCCCTCCACTTTAACTGCTGACAAGCAGCATGTTTGCCAAGCATCCTTCATAGTCCATCCTTACCTTACTCCCTAAATCATAAACCTGGGATCCATAACCTTTGCCAGCTCCTTAACCACAGTAGCAAAATAAGAAGCGAAGGAAATTAAATTAAGCTGTGTCATAGAAACTGACTATAGCAAGGAAATGATACCTTTAATAAGAGCACATGATAGTACTATTTGTCATACAGTTTATAGAAATGTATGCAGTTTCCACTGCTTATTAGCTCTACATAATGCTATGTCACTAATATAGAAGCACAAATTAAGCAGTGGCATGCTCATCTGCGCGCTCCAACTTCAAAAATTTCTTGTGTATGCAGTATTAAATGCTTAGTTCTGGTATCTGATTTTAACACAGCATTTTCTGTTGCTCCTGCAGCTGCTTAATAATCTACAAAAGCCAGCATTCGTAGCTAAAATCTCTGATTATTGAACAGTAACAAATATATAGAGAAGTCAAAAGTTTTATGACTTAAAGAAATTGCGATTTGAATTTCCGAGGTTAAAGCTTAAAAAGTAGGTTCTTGTCTTCTACTATTCACTAACTGAAATGGACCAGAAAATTTGGCATGGAGTTTTAGTAATGCAATCAGCAGTTATTTTACTCTAGTAGGATAAGCACCCAAATTCCACTTAGGCTGTAATCGCCGTGCGATACAACAGGTCTTTTAATGAACTGTGAATGCTAAATAGTTTGCCAGCACTTCTGTGCAACATTTTGTTCTAGAGCCATTTTATTACTATTTCCATGGAGATTATTTATTCCATGTGTTTACATACAGTGACAATGCAGTATTAACAGTAGGTAATTACAGTATTGCTGCAGAGCAATAATATTCAAGGAATAAATCTCTCCCTTGGTATGTACTTACTACCAGCTTTCCAGTTCAACAAGTCCATTTCCTTCAATTGAGGAGTAAGACTAGTGTCTTCATGTTTAACATGACTTGTCTGCAGAAAGTGTATGCACAGCAGTGATGCAGGATTAACACCATGCTGGGTTACAGCTGTGCTGGGTTACTCAATTGCTGGAACACTGTCACAGGGCATATACAGAGTTTTACAGGCCTGACAATACAGCAGCACATGAAATAGGCCTCTGATCCATTTACCAAGAATGGCATTTCCCCAGAAGAGTCTGCTTCCTCAAGTGTGGTCGCCTACAGATCTTTAAATGGGACTTGGTACAGTTTGAGAGCAACCCATGAGATAGGAAAACACGATGGTTCAGTATGGAGTAATATTAGACTCTTAAATTTAGAACATCATCGTTCCCATCTTTTAATC